GAGTAAGGATAAATGTTCATACAAGATAGCACGGGAATTGTATATGAAACAATATAAAAAACGAAGTGAAATTACTTCTGTAAACAATGGAGTAAGGGATACGTTACCTACTCCTGCACTACAGAAGGAAAGTTATAGGGATTCAATCACACCCCTGGTACCACCAATATATTCCATGAATGAGTGCATAGATTCTGATGCCTCACTGGATGACGTCAGCGGAGGTGAAAATGAACCTTACCAAAACGTAAGTCACTTAACACTAAATAAAAAGGTAAAGAAAAAACAGATGGAAAAACAAAAACGATCAAAAGATATAAAGAAAAATGAGAAATCACAACAACAAAAACAAAAACGCGATAAAGAAATAATTGAAGAAATTCCTACTAATATGGATCCTGTATCTAAATTGAAGGTGTTTTATGAAAAGGTTAAAAACATATGGTCGGCCGATTATTCAACAATAGAAAAAGTGCAAAACATTATAAAACTGGTTTTAGAAGAAATAGTGGTATATTTTGTCAAGTATTATAAAGACTGCAACATTGTAAGTAAACTGTTTATGTTATTTACTGATGGATAAAGTTTACATTACTACTAATATAAACATTTATCAGTGGAATGCTCAGAGTTTAAAACCGAAACTAATTGATTTTGATTTATTATTAAATAGAAGCAATATTCATGTGGCTATTGTAAGTGAAACATGGTTGGACGCAGGTAGCTGTTTAAAGGTCAATGGGTACAATGTTTATAGAAAGGATAGGTATGACTCATACGGAGGAGTAGCAATAGTTTCGCATAAATCTTTAAAAACGTTTATTGTTCCGATAAGTGTGACTAATTCAGGTATAGAGATATTGCATATTAAAATCATTAATTGTAAATTAGTTCACAATATAATTTCTGTTTACTGCCCGTCTTCTGTGAGAACTTCGCAATCAGACTGGGAAGATATTTTTTCAAAATTCCCAACAAATACTGTTATTGCGGGCGATTTTAATGCGCATCATGCCTGCTGGTCCAGTAGAAATGATTCTAGAGGTAACCAATTATATGATGCTGCAATCGAAAACAATTATATTTCATTGAATAATGGCGATCCTACGAGAGTGAAGCTCGTGAGTGGTTTTTTACAAAAAACCTCCCCTGATGTTTCATTCTGTACCACAGACATAGCTATTAATAGTTCCTGGAGTGTTAGTAGTGAAAGTTTAGGTAGTGACCATTTAATCATAAAATTTTGTTTTAAATATCCGGAACTACTTAGTATGACGTTAAAGCGAAATTTAAAGCGAGCTGATTGGTGTAGTTATCGTGTCGTTATGCACAATAATTTTGAACGAGGTTTACCACCTTCGGAAGACGTACAATGTATGTATGACTTTCTTACTACTCAAATTATTAACGCGGCCGACGAATCGATTCCATTCATAAAAATATGCAACAATCCAACGCGTAAATTCACGCCAAAGATATACTGGAACCAGGAACTTTCTAAAGTGATAGCTGAACGGCGTTTAGCCTTAACAAAATTTAGAAAGAACCCCGTGCCTCAAAATCTGGATTTACTCAATAGTAAAATTAATGAAAGCCAAAAGATGATAAGACAAGCAAAATCTAAAGCATGGCATAATTTCTGTAACAGTATTGACGAGACTACAACTTCATCGGCCATGTGGAGGAAAATGCGCTGGATGAAAGGTTTTAGGCAATCGAAATCTTATTCATCAGACAAAAAGAAGGAAGAACTATTGAGAACATTGGCACCAGATTTTGTGATGACTTCTACTCCGTCTTTTGATTATAGTGAGTCACCATTAAATTGTGAATTTTCGTATCAAGAACTACAATCATGTCTTAAAACTAAAGATACATCACCTGGTATAGATACTATTACATATTCCATGATCTTTAATTTGCCCCTTAACTCTAAAATGTATTTACTTAAATTATATAATTTAATTTTTAAAACATCAGTAGTACCTTTCCAGTGGCGCGACATTTATATAGTCCCTATCCCTAAACATAGCAGTACCACTGACGATAAGCTTCGACCAATCGCATTGATATCTTGTTTATGCAAAATATTTCACTCCATGATCCTGAAGCGATTAGAATGGTTCATAGAACATAATAAGATACTATCCTCTAGTACTACTGGATTTAGAAGGGACCACTCATGTCATGACAACTTAGCGAGACTCGTAACCAAAATTCAAATTGGTTTTACTAAAAACATCCCCACTGTAGCGGCTTTCTTAGATATAGAAGGAGCTTATAATAACGTCCTTATTGATAAGGTCGTAAATACTCTAAATTATTTTAAAGTTGGCTATTGTATATCTTCTTATATTTGGAACTTTTTAAAAGAAAGACATCTAATCATAAACGCTGACGAAGGTGAGAAGCAACATGTAAGGTGGACTGGTAAAGGAATTGCACAGGGTGATCCCTTATCCCCCCTCCTATTTAATATAGTTACGGCTACTATTTTTCAAAATATGAATAATATAAATTACAGTCAATACGCCGACGACTTTGTAATATATTGTAGTAATACTAAAATACAAGATAGTATAAATAATATACAGCACGCGCTAGATCTTTTTATGTCATCAATACGCTTACTGGGCTTAGAATTATCAAATAATAAATCTAAAATATGTGTATTTTCTAGAGGACATAAAAGGTTCTCAGTTGATATTAAAGTTAACAATAACACTTTGGAAGTAGTTGATCATGTTAAATATTTAGGAATGTGGCTTGATAAATGCTTGAGGTGGGGAAAGCATATTAACGAAGTAAATGAGACTTCACAGAAAAATATTCAGTTACTTAAAGTGTTAGCGGGATCGTCATGGGGCGTACATCCTTCACATATGCGTAGACTATACTTGGCTCTTATTAGGAGTAGAATTGATTATGGTTCTTTTTTATACGATAGCTCTGCAGTTAGTCACACTTATAAATTAGATAAATTACAAAATATTGCTTTAAGAACAATCGGCGGTTTTATCAAGTCCACTCCAATACATGTAATGGAGAGTGAGTTGAGTATTCCTCCTTTACAAATAAGAAGACAGTATATTTCTTTAAAATTTTGTTTAAAATTGCAATCCAGGACAAATGACATGTCCACTAACTTGATTAAAGATCTCAATAACATAATTGAAAATAGGTACTGGACCAGGAAGAGGAAACCGTTGCTAGTTACTTCATACAACATTATAAAAGATGAGGAGATTTCGTCTTCCTGCCCTATTTTGATGTTTACTTTAGATACTTGGATGTCTAACATAAATATAAGGGATGTTATTCAATGTAACTTACTCTGTGTCACAGCTCCGAAATCAAAGTATGAAATTAATTCTTTAAAATATAATACCCTCAATGAATTGCGTGAAAGATATAGTGGCTGGCACGTTATATACACAGATGGATCGAAAACATCAGACGGGGTGGGAGCAGCTTTTTGTGATTTGGCAAATAAATGTCATAAAATGTATAAACTGAATGGCTATATTTCTGTCATGGGTGCTGAACTATTTGCCATTTCCGAGGCTTTGAAGTATGCATTAGAACTAAATGTGAAAAATGTTGTGATGTGTACGGACAGTAAAAGCGCGTTACAGCATATTTTAAAATGCATTCATAATGGATCAAAGGGTTTAGCCACGGCATACAAAATCTTAAAACAAATTCAGCACTTTAACCAGGTTGATAGAAATATCGTTATCCAGTGGATTCCGTCTCATGTCGGACTTTTGGGTAATGAGGAGGCTGACAGACTAGCTAAAAATGCAATTCAGGGCGGTACACAAATACGGGATTTATTGCCAGGCTATACGGAAATTTTAAGCAAATTCAGAAAATTAAACAACTCATTTTGGAAGGAACATTTCAACGAAAGATCGAAAACAAAAGGGATTTGGTATAAAAGTATACAATGTGAGCCTCCTCATATACCTTGGTTTACCGGGTCAAAATTGAATAGAAGACAAATTGTTGCTGCACTTCGATTACGGTCAGGACACATTCCACTAAACCACTTTGCTCACCTCATGCGAAAATCAGACTCCCCTAATTGTGAGATATGTGGCAGAATAGAAGACGTGCAGCATGTGTTGGTGGAATGTGTCCGACATACAAATAAGAGAAATACACTTCTCAACTCCATGAAACTGTCAGCAATGGATGTTGGAATGTTTAATGGTATTTTAGGTAAGCCTACATCTGAAGCTGCGAAAATTATATATTCCTTTATATTAGATAGATAAGTAGACTAAGTTATTTTGTTTAAGTTGTAAATACATTCGTTATGTAGAAGCACGATGGGATTGACATCGTCACAAAATGTGTACAAAAATCCTTACAATAAATGAGATTAAAAAAAAAAAAAAAAAAAAAAAAAAATCTATTTGTAAGTTATATTAAATAGGCAGTTCAATAGTATTGGAGTGTAGTGTTAGAACGGACTAAAAGTTTTTAATACAACTTGATCCGACTCGAGACATAATATTAAGCATATGATGAAAGCTCAACTTTTAACTTTGTTCTTTTAATTTTAGTAACTTTAAAAATGATAAGAACCAAGACAATTTTTATTTAATTAATTAAGTATCGCTATATTAAACGAAGTTGTACCCTAAATACCTACAGTCATTCGTTAAGTAGGTACCTACCTGGATCGTTAATTACAACTTTTTTATTTTCCTCAATGACAAAGGAACTGTCGGCGAAAAGAAAAGTAGACAAGTGTCGTGACACGCACCCCCGAGTGACGCGCGGAGAGGGGGTGCGCGGCGACCAATGGCAGCGCGGCGCTGTGCTGCCGGCGCCGGCCATTGGGCGGCGGTCGGGGGTGCGCGCCCCGCCCCGTCCTCGAGGATCGTCCTTATTGAATTAGGCTTATCATTCGATTTCAAGTGGGGCGAGCGCGCGGTCCTCAGCGCTGGCAAAAACTATCGCTGAGATCCGATACCATCTGTAATCGGCATAATTCGATATAGTCGCGGCTCATCCAATTATGCGGCTGTGAGCCTTCGCGCGGTTCGTTCCGACACAAGACGCACGCGCCCCGCGCGGCGCGGCGCTTTCGCGGCACTATTGTTGTTTTACGCGAAACATTAATTACGAGCTTCGTCGAAGCACATGTCCGGGTGTTTGGGTAGATAGCTGGTGTTGACTGAACGCCATGGAGTACGGGTACTTGAGCGGCGCGGGCGGCGGGTTCGACGGAGGATGTCTGGGCTCCGGCGGCGGCGAGCTGTCCTGGGGCGAGCTCGCCTCGTGCGGCCAGATGTCACAGGCTGCCTACCGGTACCAGGGCATGCGCTACCAGCCTCCACCACCACAGTGTGCACGACCACAAGATGCTGCCATGAGGAACCACCATATATTTCCTCCATCCATGAATTTACAACGTAAGTAAAACTTTACCCGACGGCATTCCTGTAAACACATTACCTATCAAACGTTTTTATTTATTCACGATAAATACATAATTAATCCAGTAATTAAAAGTATATCACAAATAAATTGTGAAGAAATGTTGTTTGAAAAACAGCAACAAATAAAAAAACTGCATTGTGTCTTATTCTCACCGCTACGCGGCTACGACGACGTAGAACTTGCGTAGCGGTTACGGCTACGAATCGACGTAGCGGTTTGCGTAACCGTAGAGGTTTTGCTTCTAAAATACCTTCAGGAAAATTTGCTACGATTATTTATATAAATCTCTTTATTTATTTGTATTGTCCATAGTCCATTAGTCTATTATTTTGTTTTTACATATAATCCGTCCTCCAGGTTAAAAATAGCATATTTTAATAAGGATAACGTGTACAATGTTTTAAATAAAAACTAACATTGTTTTAGTATCATATTGTTTTATAATACGCTTGATTATATATTTTACCATATCTAGCTATACTAAAGTTTACAACGTACTTACTAACATGGATAATAATAACTGAATTGAATGACAGAACTGTTAACAATGAATTAATATTTAATGATACGGTTTAAACTTATTGACGTGCCAATTTATATTCATAAATGAAACCTGTTTAGCTGTAAACGAAAGGTAATTATTTTATTGCTGACTGGTCATTCATCTGTGGTTTTGCCCGTGGCTGATATGCTTGTGAAAGGATATTTCAAAATTTTCAAATGGGTTTATTAAAATATTAGATGAGATTAAAGATATTAGGTAATTGTGTTCCTTATGGGAATATGATGACAGACATATATAAATATAATTTCAGTTTATCGGATAATTTACTAAGGGTCGATCTTTAAATCACCAGTTAATTCCTAACTGTAGAATAAAATTGACTTTTGACAGTTTTTGGTATGGAAGAATATATAAAATATAAAATGAATATATAGAATATAAAAAATAAATACTCAAAGTTGTTCCTAAGATAAAGTTTATAAGGTGTTATAAAAATCGGCTCTAAGGGTGTAGACAAATAAGTTAGACCTTTTGTCATTATACTAAGCACAAATGGTTAGTTATAAACAAGGGTTAAGAGGTTAGATTTATAGTAACTCAGATCAAAAAGTGACATTACTGGGGAAACTTAACTCGTCGAGTACCGGTTTTGTAGACACAATTATAGAACAATAGGTTTCGGTCACCGGTGACCGCTTGGTGTTTGACAGTATAACTTACATTATAATATTTTAAACGGCGAGGAAATAAGATGAAAAGAATTGGTTTAAACTTTAACAATGATGTTACATCATAGTAGCAAGTTCGACGGTTGATAATAATTAATTAAACCTTTATATACCTAATAATCTATTCACTCTCTCTACCTTGGCCTTGGACTACCTCATTGGCTGTGTGGTCGCAAGTGCGACTGCCGGGCAAGGGGTCTCCAATTCGATTCCCGGGTCGGGCAAAATATTACTGGGTTTTTAAAAAAAATCTCAGTAGTAGCACGGAGTCTGGAAATGTGTCCGGTATATGGCAATAAGCTCACCCTCTATTACATGGGACTCATAACATAAATAGTGAACAGTACCCGTTCCATTGTACAGTAGCATTAAGTGCCGTAATGTGCATCTCTGCCTACCCCTTGGGGGATAAAAAGGCGTGATGTTATGTTATACTTAATAAACCGATGGATGCAGGTTGCTACCAAACGGCATATCTGGAAGTCATTGGGCTTTCCCACATAAACCTAAACCTTTGTTTATGTTCAGCAGTGGACGTCCTATGACTGATATGATGATAATACTTACTGATAGTAAGGAGTTTACAGTTCCCGTATCCGATTTATGATAATAGGTTTGATAGAATCACGCTTTTTAATCACGATAGAGGAGGAGGAATAAATTGAGGTCCACGTATTGAGGGCTTGTTTTATAATGTCTGGTTAAGCTTCTGCTTAACTGACACTTATGTATGTTGAGACATTTTATATTGAAAATACTCAGGATTATGCATCGGTTGGACTAATATAAACTTAATCAGTTATGGTTGTATTCAATTTAGTCATTAAACTTAGCTTACAGCTTTTCGTTAGTTAATCACAACTACTATAATTAATTGGGTAGTTGACCGAGTATGAAATTGAAAAATTTAATAAGTCCATCACTTAGTTAATTGAAAAAATATAAGACAAGTATTTTTGTCATAGATAAAAGGAATCACAGTTTAAGAGTGGGATACGCAATACTTCAAATCGACATATCGTCGAACAAATTTTTTTCCGTAAGCAAATGAAATACCTATAGGTGTTTAATGTTATAAATGAATCTATCAGAATAACGGTATTTTTGTGTTTTTAAAGACTTTTTATTTGCTGTTTAAGTTGTAGTTAAATTTAAGTTGTTTATATCTAAGTAGTTCTATCTCCTTTTGTCAAGCTATTCGTCTAAAATTGACAAATAAAATAATATATTAGATGGACATTAAAAGAAAATGTACGAATTTACCCTATTGTACTCTTATTTTCATTTTATGGAACTAATATCACAATTAGAGAATGCCAGGCCTCCCAAATTATTTTGTGTCCATACTTTTGACTACAACTATAAATATAGTAGGTTTATAATATTTATTGTATAAGTACTGTAATCATGTTTTATCTATGTGAGATTCAATTTAAAAATAAAGCAGCTTTAAAAGTTGTCGGGCTCAGCCGACGATAAGTATTATGACAAAAATATTTGAAACTTTAGCCCCTTTAGATATAGTATTCCAACATATTCTTGTTTTTTGAAGTTAATTCACATACTTAGATTGTAAAATTTAAAAAAGTGGTACCTATAATGCATTTTTATGGTCTTCACTTCTACTTCATAAATATAAGAAGAATATAAGAATATATTATAAGAAGTGTTTGGCAACTTATGTATTTAATAAATTGCAATTTTTGGGTTTCTAATTAAGACAATGGTCAGTTTTGGAACATGAATTTTATTAGGTACAAGCTGGCCTGGCAAACCTCGTATCACCTAAATTTTTTTCTCACCTTGTAAAACCTTCCTTGAACTTCCACGAACATTTCAAGACCAAAATTATCCATATCGGTTTAGCCGTTCTCGAGTTTTACCGAGACTAACAAACGGAAATTCATTTTTATTTATATAGATAAAAGAGTAATTAATTATAAATCTGACTAAAAGTAACAAGACTCTTGGTGCTTTGTTCTTTATACCTTACATTAATGATTGTTGATGACCTATTGCTAGTAGTATTGTTTTAGGCCAGATACTTGATCTAAAACATTTAGCTTTTCGATGGACTGGAAAATGATCGAAGATTTAAGTACTGTGTAACTGAGTGACGTTCATTTATAATTATGACTATTTTATTTGTTACATTAAATAAACTGGAGAACTTAGGGTACTTACAAAGCTTGGGAATTACTGCAAACTTTAATATTGAATGGCTTTAGTAGTGCACGTTTTCCGGCTGATGACGATGGCGATTATAAGATTTCCCCAAGCGTGGAAATAACGGGAAACGTTAAAAGGAAAGCTTCAATATTGGAAATACTCCGACTATTGATGTAATGTCATGTTTACGATACCTTTTCGATCTAGTGTAGGTATTCAACATAAAATTCTTGAAATGTTTAAATCACTCTTCTACAACACGAACAGTCTTGTTTTTTTTAGTATGAAGTTTGTGAATCTCCCACTTACTCGGCTTCTCTAGTAAAGAATCAAGAAGTTTTTTAATATTTGTTTCAAAATACTACCGGGATATATATTATGTTGTTCTAAAGAAAAACCTGAAAACTTTTCAACTTTGTATTCGTTGGCTTTACGGAATGAAAATATTTAAGAGTACTGATTTTTATTACAAATATTCAATTTTATATAATAATCTTGACTAGTTGTTCGTTCATTACAAATACGATCTCATGTTCGAAATACTTACGTTGTTGGAATAAATTGTTTGAATAGAGAATGGGGTATTTTGTTAATTAAAAATAAAATGACTTTGATTGTTCAATACAATAAAATATAAAAAAAATAATTTTAGTATATTTCCAGCAATTTTTTAAAGAAATAAGTACGCTGTTTGACGCTGAAAAAACGTGACGTCACAACACAATTCACAATCTCGTACAAAATTCATAGAAAACTCGTTTTTGACAGTTCGAAAAAAGTATTGAATTTGACTCATTGTCAAATACCGTATTTGATTTGTGAAGGGAAAAGGAACTGATTACGTTGAGCAATATGAAACACCATTACGACGACTTAAGAAAAAACTATAAAGTAAGTTATCGAAGTCGTTGTTTTGTTGATTTTTTTGAAACGTTGCCCCACACTAGGATTTTCTCCTGTGTCTGAGAATTTACAAACATACAATATCGCATACACATGATACCCATGCCCGGAACAACAATCTGTGGATCACACAAAGAGTCGTTCCGTGCGAGAATCGAACCCGCGACACTTTGCGCGGCGCCCAGCCACCGCGCCAACCGTGCAGTCAATAATATGTTCGTGCAGTCGTTAAGTATGATATAAGTTAATTTATTTATGAAGGCACAATAAAGTAAATACTTTTGAGGTTCATAACTTCATTAATTATTATGTTTTTGGGTTAACTCACGTAATTATTTGACGAGGAACTCGACTAGTTTCAAGTCATGCTAGAGGCTTATATTCAAGAGCAGCATTCCGCGACGCGAAATTACAGATGGGGAAAAAACATAATAATTCATCTAATATGCCTCACAAAACTTATGATTTAAATCATAAATTCATTTTTTAATTTGTCAGCATATTTTTTTTTTTCATTCAATATACTTTTTATAACCCATACCAGAGTAATAATAAACGTGGAGTATTTTTAACGTGGAAAACTACAGAACCAGATGGATGAAACATCAAATGAAAATGATACATATTTAGCTAGCTAATAGGTACTTAGTTACTTGTTCGAATTCCC